CCTTCGTTAACTTTTCAACTGATATCTAATGAATGTCAGTGTGTATGTGGAACCATTAGAATTCACCAGGTTAGCTCTGTGCGAACTTAAGCAGGAGCAATTTGAACACCACACTGGGCAAACGAAAGCAAAGCTTTTCAGCTCAATTGTCAGCCAGATTCTTCCCCGATGCCCACTCAAGATGAAGGTAAAGCCATGAGGAGGCCAAGGACTGTAACTGAAAATTCTCTGGTCTGATCATTTACTTGAATATCCACTCACAAAATAACCCATTTGGTACTAAAAGAACCTTTTATTTATAGATTATGAAAATAATCTCTTCTATTAAAAATAATTTCTTGCCCAAAATGTCTCATCATTTGATTTCAAACCCCTCTTCATAGTCTCAGTCTCATCTCCATTTACCTCTACTGAGTATAGGTGGCTTGACAGACATTGAAGAATGCGGGCCAGAGCTCCATGGATGCAATTATTGTCACATGCTTCTCCTCTCCTATCCAGTACAAATTGTATGTTGTCATGAATGATTGATTTATTACTGCCTTTGTACTTCATTTCGTCATTATTCTTTTTTTGTTTTGTCAAACAGACCTATACTATTCTTCATGTAATCACCCAGTCCTGTCTTTCTGTAAACAAAGTAGCTGATGGCCACCATCATCCCACTGTGAAACATGCAATGATAGTGCTTTGCAAAAATGGCTACTAAGAAACTATATAAGAATAGAAGTTTTTAAAAATATTTTTGGGAATACTATTGATTACTTTCTCTAATAATTTTAGAAATTTATGTTATAGGATTTATTAAATTTATTTTAGTGCTTTGATTATGTTTGATTATGGAAATCTCAAAGCTTAAGGAAAAATTACATGTGTTATTTTTCCCTGGAGTTCCTTTTCTGTCTTTTACTTCTCAGCTGCTGATTAATTTGGAGACTGCATGTGTTAAGTAATGTTTAGTCTATCTTTAGTTAATACGTATTTTTCTGGTTTTTATTTCAAGTATATCTATACAGAAACATAACTGATAGAATATATCATGAAATATTTTCTCTCTTAGTATAGGGATTCTGAATTAAAGCTGGGAAAAAGAATAAGTGGACAATAAGATATTTCAGAAACACACATTAACTTTATAATTTTTATTCAGATTCTTTGACTGTATGCAGGTATATCATAACCTTCATAAATCTTGAAATTATTTTAATCTGAAACACTAAGCAAACACATTATTGAAGGCTAAGTAAGATGTAATTTTTCAATACTTCTATGAAGAAAACTATTTCTGAGCATTTCTTTGTGGTTGGTGAAGTGATACAGCATAAACAGTTTTTCAGAATGGTACCTTTTATTTCTCACTTGTGTGATTTGTGAGTACTTTCTCAGCAAGCAATGAAATGAATCTTTATTCAGTTCAGATCAATAAACTGGTGTGGAATTCTTGCAAAGAAGCCCATGTTTTTGATCGAGGCTATAAAGGATTTACTGTCCAGTAAATAAGATTATACATTGTCTAGTATCTTATTACCATAGGAGAAAACATGAGAAGTTACAGGGCGGTTTCTGGTTTACATGAATGAGCTAAGGATTGTTGGGAGGACACAGCTGAGTTTGGAATTTTGTGACAAAACTGGGAATCGAAGTATGGAGAGCAGAGGGCAGTAGGGGAATTGTTTAGATTAGAGCTACCTTTGAGATAAGGACATTCTGAAAGTTGGAGTAGTCCACAGCTTGTACATGAAAAAGACTTGCGTACAAGGCAATTTCTATATATTATTTTAGTGTTTAAAGCTATACACCCTAGTATGTGCAATGTCCCAAAAGGGAATTTAAGCTTCACTAATCATTTAATTTCACGAATCTACGTACAGAGTTCTAGGGCAGAGACCATGGTTCCTTCTCTTAGCAGGACAACTTGCAGCATTTCCCACAGCGGTCCTTACCACCTTCTGGAAGTTGGCCTCCTCACAGATGGCAGCCTGGTGTAAAGTTATGACATCCACATCAGGCAGATGCAGAAGCCATACCGGCTTAATAGCCTCCTCCTCACCGGAGATGACACTGTTGGTAACAACTTAGTAGGCGTAACTCCTGGGAGCCTAATGGGATGTTCAAAATTGTTTTTGCACTGAGAGAAGTGCCCGAAATTTGGCTTCGTATCAGATATTCAGATGTGGTTTTTCAGACTTGATGCAGTTCACCAATCAGAGGTCATTTTTACCATAAACCATATTGCCTAGCAACAAAGTTAACAATTTTATCTTTATTTGGATGCCCAGAGGTCATGGTTAATTATCTCACAGTCAGTTTTTAAGCAGAAGGAGAAAAAATATGTATAAGCAATTTTAATGTAAAACTCAGGATTTTCTGATGAAGAATCTGATGCCTCAGAATGATTTGGTGGCGTGCCGAAGTGTTCACAACTAGTAATTTGGGGAGTAGAATTCACACTTAGATCTATCTAACCTTAACATGTCTGGTTTTCCACTGCATTACATCAAGAAGGAGAGTTTTTTATTGTTTTAGTATTCCCTACAGTGGAAATACTTGTGCATTTTAAGGAAAAATGATACAAATATTTTTGAATTATTTGGATTGTTATATGTTCTCAGGGCATAATGATTATATTCTTGGTGGGGAGTTGGTATATTCACATAACACTTTAATTCTTTTTTCATCCCCTTCCTCACCCTCCTTACTCCTTTTGTCTCCGTTCTCCTTCACTTCTGCAAAATCTCCATATTTCCTACTATCTAATTTTATTTTGCTATTTTTTATATTTTGAGTTTCTCATATAGAAACTATGTGATATATAATCTTGTGTGTCTGATTTATTTCACTTAACATTATGGCCTAAAGGTGCATCCAATTTTCTACAAATGACTCAAGTTTATCCTTCTTTAGAGCAGAGTAGTGCTCTGTTGTGTATAAATAACCCATTTTCTTTATCCATTCATCTATTGATGGGCATATAGATCATTTCCAAAATTTCACTATTATGAGTTGTGCTACTATAAACACAGGGCACGTTTCCCTGTTATATGGTATTTTTAACTCTTTTCGAAAGATACCTAGAAGGAGAATGGCTGGGTTAAATGGAATTTCTATTAGTTTTTTGAGGGACCATACTGATTTCCATGGTGGTTGTAATAGTTTACATTGCCACCAGCAATGTAGAAGGGTTATTTTTCCCGCACAGCCTCAGATTGTCATTTTCTGTATCATTAGCAACACTTATTCAATATGATCCTTAAAGAAAAATAATTTCACCAGTCCTTATGGTGCGTGCCTGTAATCCCAGCACTCCAGAAGCTGAGGCAGGAGGATTGCCTAGAGGTTGAACCCAGCCTGGGCTACATAGTGAGTTCTCCACCATCCTGAACTACATAGTGAGATCCTGTGTCAAATAAGCAAAAAAACAGAAAAAGAAAAACAATCTTAAGGTACTTTTTAAAATTACAACATGTAGTAACAGAAAATCAGTCAAAGCATTCAATAACTCTGACTTGTGAGCAGATTCAGATAAAGCACTGGCAGTTTAATAGCACACTGGATATATGTAAAGATCACACATTTTTTAAAGGCTCTAATAAATGCATGTAATGGTAAGTGACTTTTTAAAATGTATATGTATGTATGTATGTATGTATATGTATATGTATATGTATGTGTGACCTTAGGTAGGTAACAGAAATGAAGGATTTTTTAGTTGACTTTAACTAAAATGTCTTAGAAAAAATATTTATTTTAATATCTTTTTTGTTTGTCCAAACTGGTTGGTTATTGAATTTCAGGTGTCATAAGAATAGATCAAACATGTTCTTTATCTTTTGCAATTTCTAAAAAAAGAAATTCATTTTTTAGTATAAATGGCTTGATTCCATGATTGAAAAGCAACAACAAAGGCCTCAAACTGGAAATATCCTTTACTTCTAAGCTTTGCTTTTTTAATTTCCTGTTTGTTGTTTATTAGGCATCCTCAACCACCACCTACTCTCCAGTCTTTCATGTCTCACAACAGTGTAATCCAAGGTGTTTTCAGTCTTCATCTATACAAATTACAATTGTCCAAGTAGTGCTTCTCTGTCATTTTTATCAAGCCCCCCATGCATTTGTTTTTTAGCAGTTTTCAATGTAGTATTAAGAATGAACACAAAAAATAAGATGAAAAGATTTTTGTCTACCCTTAAATTTGGTAATTTGCAACAAAAATTATCTGGGGTTCTATTTTCAAGATATAACAGCAAATCATCTCATGTATGTTAAGAAACTTGTCTTCATCTTAGGGAATTTTTTCTATTGTGTGGATGTAGGCATTGCCCAGGAAACTGAACAAAATGATATGTAATCACTACATAGAAAACATAGATTTCAAATGTGGATCTGGGAAGTCCAAATTGTGACTCCCAATGTAAATCATACTTGTATTTTACTTATATATTTTAAGATGTTTAAATGTAGATCAAAATATGGTAAGGATATTATAAAGTCAGAGAAATTATTTGTTACTATAATAATCATTCTTCTACAATGAATGTCTGAGATACTATGGTTTGTTTAGTATTTGAAATGGGAACATTTCTAGCAGTTTTGTTCATTTGGGTCACAGCTGTGACATCTATTTGTATGTTTACCAAATGGTTACTGAACTACACATGGCTAAGAAAACTAAGCTTTTGCAAAAGCTTATGAATATTTGTAGCCCCGAACTGAACTCAAAGCTACAAATGGGCTTTTGTAAAGGAGCCTGAGTTCTTGGGAACTCATGATAAAGGTTGGCCAATTTCTTTAGCCATCTGCAAATAAATGTGTATTAGACAATGATGACTCCATGACAGTTGATGTTAATCCAGACACCTGTGTATAGTTTTTTATAAATGTAACACAGTGTAATATACTAAAATATCATAAAGGATTTTCTTTAAAAGCAGGTTTATTCCTAATTGCTAGTAAAGTTGAAAATGAAATAGGCTGTACTGATTATTGGCTATCTCTTACAGAGACTCACCTTGAGACATGTTAACAGTAACCAGTGTCTCGATGAACCCTCTGAAGAAGATAAAATGGTGCCCACCATGCAAGACTGTAGTGGAAGTAGATCTCAACAATGGCTGCTGAGGAACATGACCTTAGGGGCTTAAAGACCATTTGCCCCAAGCCATGAAAGTGTCTACACTTTTATTTTTCCATTCTTTCCATTAGAAGAAAATATTAACTTTGCTGAATTGAAAGTTTTAAAATTCTTTTTAGTATCCTAAAACACAGTTTATAATTCATTTTTAGAAATGTTTGATTATTTCCCTACTAAAATTTGTATCTGATTGAAGAAGCACATTAATAAAACATGAATAATAGCAAACTGTTACTAAACATTGGAACAATTTGAGAAACAAATTGTTTGTTTTACAAAACAGTCTTTATTGTCCTATGTCATAGGGTTATTTGTGGAGGAGGCATTTTATTTTTTGTTGCCACAGTGATTGAAAAAAATAATGTAAATGCCTTATAAAATATCTTCATTTTGAAATATTAACTGCTTTATAAACTTACTCTACTGGAACTTCATGGAAACATATTGAATTCCTATATCAACAACAGGACTACATATAGGATTATGAGCACTAAACTCATTATACAAAATGTTACATTCCAAATTTTGTATTTGGAAAATATTAAATAGGATAATGAGTTCATAGATTCCTTACAAAGCATCATGTTTAAACAAAGAAAGAAAAGAATTCAAAAATTCCATTTAAGTAAGCAAGTTAAATTCCAACGAAATAGGAAGAAATTATACAGATATTGAGGGTAACAGGATGAAGCTAAACTGAAACAAGTGTCATTAAGAGATATTGTAGCTGGGTCATGGTAATTCCTGAGACAAGGTGAGAACAACCTGCTCCCAGAGTTGATGTCACAGACTCCGGACTCAGCATCATCTTGTTTCCATAAACTATGCCCTCCCTTGTCTCTCTAAATGCTCTGGTTTGTTACCAACGCTGTAATAGAACATTAGTGAAGGGTAGAGTTTTAGCAAAATTTCCAATTCTTTCACATTTAGATATTGTAGTTAGTTCATTTTTGTCATTTTTGTTTTGTATGAAAAAATATATTGCAATCAGATTTTCATTGCTGCAATATAACATCATTCTATAATTTTATCCCTAAGAGAGTAAACTCAATACACCTTCATTAAACATTTATTCTAATTAGACTGCCAAATATCATTTGCCATAAATTATGGCTCAAATAATACATTCATAATTAGGCTAGTTTTACAAGTTCTTTCCATTTAAAAACCCTTTTGTTCAAAATACTTAAGTAGTTCTTATGAAAATGAAGAAAATTCTATAAATGAGATATTTACTAATAAGCTTTTTATTTGCCACCATATTAAATACTCATAAAATTGGTCTATATATGAGTTTTATGCATTATAAGTATATGCAAAAGCCAGAGAAATTGAGAATGTGGGGAGGAAGATGGAAAATGTGTCTTCTAGAGCAAAAGATTCCACTTTTATTGTCCTCATTTTTTACTTATAAAGCTCTTATATATAGAACATATTAATAAATTTGGCTACACCTCTGTCTCTCTCTCTCTCTCTCACACACACACACACACACACACAACTTTATAGTAAAAAAGACACTTTCCATTTTCCTAGCTGGCATTCCATTCTCTTTGTTGCTAGAAAACTCCAGAAAAGAATTCTACAACCTGGAACATCTCAGGTTTACTCCTAAAAATGTAGACATCCCCCACTCCAAGGTCTCTGGGAATTCTTAAATTTACTAAATTTTTTAATAAAACTTTAAATGTCAGAGCTTTTATTTTTCAAAATATAGACTCAAGTTTATAGCAAACTTAGAATGGAACCTGAAATTCCTAAGAGGTAGTGACCCACAACTTTTAATTAATCGTGTCCTATCCAGTCAGCTGAGACTCTCTAACAATTCCATTTTCTATTTTTCCTCTTTTTCTCCTCCATTTTCTTCTCATCTTGACTAAAACAAGGTAAAATATTCATGTGCAACATAAAAAGCTTAAACTTTGAGGAATTCCTTTATTTAATAGACAGACCCTACTTTTTTATCAATCAAAATGCATATGTTACCTAGAAAATGGTGAATGATAAATACTCTAAAATATAGCTACTTCATGGAAACTGAATTGGATGCATTTCAGCTGTATTTTAAATAACTGAGAGTGTGTTTGTGGTCACTGTGAAAATATGGGATTTTCATGGTCGAGTTTCATTTAGGAAGAATCTTCAGAGACTCTTCAGCTCTTTGGATACATGCCATGATAGGTCTAACAACTTTAAAAAATGATATAAAATATAAATCACTCAAAACCCTGGAAACAATGATTAACATTGTATTTTTTTTCAAAAATGCTTGCAGTACTGAGAATTAAAAGCATGGTGAAATTCGTAGTGCATTCATCTTGCATATCACTTATCTATGGAGCTAGACTAAGAAATATTTCAAATTGTTTCAAACCATCCTCTTCTGTGGTCTTTCTCATCTCAGCTAATGCAACTTCACCCTTCCAGATATCCAAGTGAAAAATCTTTTGCTCTCTCTCCCCCCGGCCCGTCTCTCTCTCTCTCAGTGTTTCTCTCTCTCTCTGTCTCTCTCTCCATTATAAAGTTCTCTTGATGCTTTCTTTCAAATGTAACCACAAGCTAATGGTTTGCCACCATATCCACAATGTGATTTACTTCTTACCTTTTTATTTGCAAAATGTTTGTGATTTGGTGAGCAACTTTTGCTAATCCTCATCTCCTTTTCTCAATGTAATAGTCAGAGTGATTCTGTTTAATATGAATTTCATTATGACATTTCACATACACAATCTTCCAATGGATTTTCATCTGTCTTCAGTAGTATTTGAAATCCTTCATAATAATAGTCCTTACCATACACTCCCCCCAGTCTACTATACAGACACAGACACACACACACACACACACACACACACACACACAGTTCACTTCACTATACTTCCTCTCTTTTACCATTCCACATTTTACTTACTCTACCCTGACTCCCTAGCAAATTTCCTTCTCAATCTTTGGCTCCCTGGGCCCCACAGAGCTCTCTCCCTCACTGTCTTTAGGTCTTAGGCAAGCTCTCTCAGCAGTAAGGCAAACCATTGTCCCACTTGCTGTCTGCATCTCCTGAACTTCTGACAAACTATAATTTTACCTTTTTATTTCAGCGTATCCTTCTACCTGCATGAGCCCACAACCCAACATACATCTCTAATATGTCTCTCTTATTTTTATTGTTGTTTTGTATTTTTTTGTTTGTTTTACATTACTGGGGGATGAAACCTAGGGCTTCACACATGCTAGCTAATTGCTGTCCCATTGAGCTCTACCCACCGCCCTACAAGTCCTTTTAAAAGCCAGGGTCTTTGTCAGTTCTGTTCACTGGATATCCTCAGCATCTGGTATAGTTGTTGGCACATATGAAATATTCTTTAAATATTTCTTGAATTAATAAATTGAAAAGTATGTTAAAGTTGCTAAGTGCTACAGTGTTGTACTTTTTTTGTATTTTATACTTTAGTGTCCAGTAATATATTTACATAGAATTTGCATAATTTTATCTCCAAATGATAATTTTCTTCCTAACATCCTTCATATTAAAATATGAACTATATGTTATTTTCTATTATAAAATATCCTGCCTTATGGAAATGAAATATGGCATTTTATAGAAATGCTGCTACCTTATATAAGTTGCTTCATTAAGCTAAAACTAATTTTAATTTTAATTTTCTGGTTATGTTCAGTGGGCCACTTTTTAAGGGTCTAAGCTTTTGACTTTTGGAGGGAGATATATGTACATTCCCTTAAAGATTGTATTTTCATGGTTTCATACTTACTAAATTTATTTTCCAAGCAATCCTATGGACAAAAGATAATTTAAAATCTTTAAAAAGCTTTACAAAAGCTTTACAAAGCTTTAAAGATGATCCATCATTAGTTTTTATGTTTCTATGTAATCAGCCTGAGACCCAGATACATAATGTAGTTTGCCCAGGGATTATACAGCTACAAGCAGTTTTGCCAGCACTCTTCATTGTTAATGTTACCTAATGTATCACTCAGAAATATTATTAAAAGGGCACAGTAATGAGAAAAATGTCTTCATTTAAAACTTTCTTATTAGAACATTGATTATTTAGAAATATTTAAATTTTTACTATCTTTCATGCTTAAATAAAATTAGTTCTGTAAACAATAAGACCTGAAGGAAAAATAAAGAGATTACCTGAAAACAGCATGATTATTGAACAATGAAATATCCTAGCATCATTTGGCAAACAGTTTTAGGGAAATAAAGCAAAGCCTCTTCAGTAGCAACTTATGAAAAAGTCTCTCTCATTTACTTTATAATGATATTAGTTAAAAGTAATGTTGGCCTACAAGGAGCACAGAGAATTAGACCATCTATAACTGTGAACATTTGATGTTTTCTACGTTATGCAGCTTCAAAGATGGCAAGATAATCAGCAGATATTTCTAAGCTTCCCATTGTAGCTCTCTAGTAAAAATAACTCATAACTTGATTTTACATTGGTGCTTAGAATCAGCCTAATAAATAAAAAGAAAAAAATAAAGGGAGAAGAGAGTATCTTCTCACATGCATTGTTTTTACCATTTGTGAAATGATGATCATATACAATCACAGCTACTACATGTGCATTTCATCCACAGATGCTAACTCCAGTGTCAGAGGAGCAAAACTTGTATACATCCTTAAGTTAAAAAGTATGATGATTTCACAAGTACAAAAAATATTGAAGAAATTCAAGCTTCTATGGATGTGTCACCACCCACAAATGGACATTCTGCATAACTGATAACTTTAAGTCTTTAATAAATTTCCTACTTTATTGGGCAGCACACATTCAATTGTCTTAAAGCAGCTTGTTTCAGAATTCAGCCACTGCCTACCCTGTTCCAAAATATGATAAAATATGGAAAATAAAAGATTGGCAATTCTTCTGTACAGTATAGGGTGTGTCTGATGTGACTCCACTATGTTCAAACTGCTATTAAATGTAAGCTGTTGTATGATTTTAAGGTGTTGAATGAACACCAGCAATGTGTTTTAAATACTTTGTGTAAATCTGTGCCCAACTTTTATTTTATATTGTTCAATAAACTCTAAAGGAAATTTTCATTGTATGTGCTTTTAAAATCCTTCTGAAATAGTAGTGATGCAGGGCAGTATGTTGTTAACTCTTTTAAGACAAAGGCCACTTCTGTGGTACTGTGTCATCATATATATATATATATATATATATATATATATATATAATGTTATCATTATATGAAGTTATCATTTTCCTTTTATTTTAAGCCCATTTTTAATGACTTTGAAAATGAGAAATTAAATGATTAATGCTATATGTACATTTATTTTTTAAATTTTAATTTTCATCATGCATTCAATTGGAGCAAAAATGAATATAAGCTACTGCTTGATTCTAATTGTACTTTCAGCTAAAAAAAATAGCACAAGAGAAACAAGAAGTTGATGAGCAAAACTTTTTGGGGGGGAGCTTTTGTGTTTTCATGTAGTCATAGCTAGAGAGAAGTCATTTCAACAATGTTTTAAATATTTGCTTGACACACAATTCTTTAACATTTATAAAAGTAGGTTGTGCATAAAGAATTAAACATTTTAAATAATGTAAGCATTACTAAATGGTACAATTGTTCTTTTGCTGTAAATTTAAATATTTATACATTTTTGTAGAATTAAAATATGCCAATTTAGTTTTTCTTTGTATATGTTGTCTTTTTAAATAGATAAACAATTTCACCATTTCATATTCATGCTCCATGTAGTAGATTATTTAAGTGCCTACTAATTTCTCTTAGGAGCAAGAAAACCTTGTGATCCCCTTACAGTTTGAAAATATATGAAAATAGAAATATTAAAATGTGTGTGATTATACAGCATTGTTTTTTTAAAATTTTACAATGATTTGAGACTAATCTTTAATTTCTCTATAAAAATTACATGAAAAGTGATAAAAATCATTTTTTAAGAATATTATGGTTCATACCAAATTGGTCTCAAAATAAAGTCTTTCAAGATTAGTGGTGGGTGAAACTCTCTCCGCAGCACTATTTCTCAGCTTCAACTCTGCAGTCCTAGACACTGTAAGAATCAAGGAGGAAAAAAATCACTTAATTTGCTAAGACAGAAGAAGAAGAAGAAAGAAAATCAGGAAAGGAAAAAAAAAGGGATCAGAAAGGAAGGAATAAAGGTAAGAAGAAAGGATTTCAATATTTTACATTTGCATAATTTTATGTAAATAAAATGCAAGTAAAGTGTCCTTCATATCAGGTTTGTGTGATTTAGAAGTTCACTGATTTACAAACATCCTGAGTACCTCACTGGTTTTCCCAAACTCTTCTATAATTGTCAGCGAGTATAAAGATTATTGTCTAGATTCTGTTTTTTACACTCAAAGAGTCTTTACTTAGCTTTTTATAAACCAGTTGGGACTCCATGGACCCCACTCTGCCGCTCTTGTGTTATTCTTGTCTCTGAACACAACCTTACATTTTCAGTGCTAACCAGGTACTTAGTTTAACCTGATAAATCACACACATAAAGTTTGGCAAGGTCCATAACTTACCCTATTTTGCTTTTCTTCAATGCTTGGTAGAAACAACCTGAATTTATGTTCTGAGCCTGTGTTTTCCTTCTTGTGAGCCAAGGAAATGAAGAGGTGGCCTCTCTGCTGACTCATTGTTTTTTCTGACAGAAATTATCTTTGCTTTATGATATATGAGGGAAGATATTAATTACCTCTATTAATCTCTCCCTCTATTATCAGAGTTGTCAGATAGTGAATTCCTTTCGACAGAAACCTCTTCATCAATTTAGAAAGTTAAGTAAAAATCTAGATAAATGTGCAAACACCTAAAACAAGCTTCTCTACAACAAGAGACACAGGAACTTGGTGCAGCAGGCACCCTTTATCTACCACTCGATACCTTACAAGGTAGAAATATGAGATCAGCACTGTGTAAAAAACCCACCCAGCACAGCACTGTGAATAGCAGTCTTAAGATTAATGAGACAAAAAAAAAAGTTTAATGAGACCTGTGCTTTCAGCTCTTGGATCTGCACCTTGATTTCTCCCTGTGAATATGTGATTTTGTGTCTTTAAATTATGGTATAGGGTTAAATTAAGTATACAGAAGCTGTCTTAGTTACTTTCTTAGTGCTGGGACAAAATACCCAAAACCCAAATTAAAAGGAGGAAAAGTTTATTTTGGCTTGCAGTTTGTAGAGGTTTCAGTCCACAGTCACCTGGCTTCAAGGCAGGGTGGCATGGTAGAGGAGCATGACAGAGAAACAGTTCATGATGGCGTGGCAGGCAGAAAGCAGCACAACTTTTGTATTCTTTCTCTTTTTATTCCATCTAGGATGCAAGCCTATTAGTTGGTGCCACCCACACCCAGGGTAGGTCTTCCCTTCTCAGTAAATCTGTTACCCACAGCCAGCACTATGTTAAACCAATTATCAGACTAACCAGTGTCACATCATCATGATCCTGTCCCTCACAAAAGCCCTACCTATGAGCGGCTGAGGTTTTGGGTTTTGTGGGGGGTAAGTCTTAGATAGAAGTCATAACAGAAGCACTTCGTTTTTTTTTCTACTCAAATGGAACAAAGTCAAGTGTGAATCCATTTTCCTCACATAATAAGCTCTTTAAAACACTGGTTGTTTGAGCCAAATTAGAAAATTTATGGACATTACTACCTTTGTCCTTGAATATCTGTTTTTCATTTCTTAAATTTGTACCTAACCTAGTGGCTGTCCCCCACTATCTCTCAATATTGGATACTTCAGGGTGCCACCCTTAGTCTTTTTCTCTATTTGCCTTCAGGACCTGGGCGATCTCATCTAGAAACATGGATTTCAATACCTCTGACATGTGAATTACTACAAAATTTCTCCATTTTAAAATGTTTGATATTCAACTATTTGACATCTTCACTTGCCTGTCAAAAATATCTCAATTTCAGTATGTCCAAAACTGAACTCTTCAGCTTTATCTATTTTCTATAGTTACAACAGAATACCTTTAACTGAGTACTTTATAAGGAAAAGAAATGCATTTGGTTCACATTCTAGAGTTGTGGACGATCAGGAATATGGCACTGGCCCCCTGAAAGGTCTTCCTGCTGTGTCATTCCAGAGACCAGGCAAGACCAAGAGAGCAATAAGGGGATCTTCTCACCTTTGCTTTTATAATAAATTCACAATCAAAATAACTAACTTACTCCTGCAATAATAATCATAGCCCATTCATCGGGAAAGAGCCCCATATTAGGTCCCTACTCCCAAAACTCTTGCTTTATGTATGAAGTTTCTAACATGTGAACTTTGAGGGGCACATTCCAACCACACCAACCCCAAGGAGATTTTCTATTTCAGTTAATGACAACTCCTTTTGCCAGTTGTTCAAGTCAAAAATCTTAGTATCATTATTAGAAAATTATATTGATTCCCTTATCACAATAGGTCCTGAATCTAACCATTTCTTTTCATCTCCACTACTGGTTGTGGCCCAGACCATCCAAATATGTCAAGAATCTGTTTGCCAGATTGCTTACACTCCTGGCTCTTCCCCTCCATTTTCAAACAGAAAAGGAATGATACACAAAATGCAACCCAGATATTTTCTTCCTGTGCTCACAAGCCTACAACTTCTTTTGCAAAAGCTGAATGACTATGTCATTATCAGATCCAAAATGACTTATCTCTTCCCCTAGAATGTTTCCTCTAGTTCACTTCATCCCAATCACTCTGTCCTCTTTATCATTTCTTTGAAGAAGTTGGGTTCACTTTTGGTTTAAGGCCTCTACCTGGAATACTTGTCTAGAGGATCCACATGCTAACTCAGTCACCTTGATTACAACTTAAATTCTCAAAGAAATCTCCCATCTATCTTTTTACTACAGTAGCCCATATCCCATCTTTCCTCTAGTTATAGCAATCCATTATCCAGTTACATTTTTTCATAGCATTTAACATTTGCTTATGTATTGCCCGGTTTACGAGTTTTATTAGTTTTGATTTTTAGTTGTTTATTCTGTCTCTTCAATTCTCATACCTATCAAGCACACACCACTGGTATATAAGAGCAGGCATTTTTATTTCATTGTAATACATTGCAAAAATCTTGAATATCTGGCATGTTCTAAATACCCAACAAATATTTAAGTGTCAAGTTAAATTCCATCTTTTCTCCTGACTGCTGGTGTACCATAATTCCATGCTATGGTTGAGAGAGTGGGTGGGAAGTGGAGCAGTAAAAGAAGGACTTTAAAATTTTTCTTGTTCTTATCTATGTTGATAGATTTTACCATCTCTTTACTTTTAACATGTCCTCCTACTAAAAGGATTACAGTGTCTTTCCTCATTGTAAAACTATTAATTTTTAAGGGAGGGGATGCATTTGGAACTTGAGACAACTCCATAATTATATGAGTGTTAGAGTAATTAAATTTGATATGACCCAGATGGGAATTTTTCCTCTAATAGAAGCATGGTATTTTGTGATAGGATAATGAAATGTTAGGATGACAAGGCAGCTGGGATGTGTTCCACCCTTGAATAATAAAATAACATTTGCTATTATACACAAACTATTTGTACAGATCTATCACAATTTCTTATTAAAGCTTATTTCTAAAACTTACACATATACTACTTATAGATTCCCAAGGAAACATACATTTAAAGAAAATTGCATAGCATAAATTTGGATATTCCAAATTTTTTTAAATATATTGAAATCAAGTCCTTTTGTTATGCCTAATCAGGGTCAACATTCACGTGCTCCACTCTGCAGATAGAGACATGTGCTTAGTGTCAGCCCTGCACCATGACATTCTCTTATCTTTCATCTACCAAGGACAGATTCAGAAGTCACTAGCCATTCTATAGCTATTAGGAGGTGGGAATGCACATTCTTATTAGCTCCTTTGCAGGACACAGGCTCTGCATACCTAATGAGTGTTCTTTGTACCTTATAGAAATCTCTTTATATACCAATAAAAGCACAGAAGACTCATGTCTGCTTAGTTAACCACTCTGGCCAGTGTTATTTACACTGAAATGGATCCAGATCTATAATTTTATACCATAGA